CAGAGAGGCAGAGAGGCAGAGAGACAGAGAGGCAGAGAGACAGAGAGACAGAGAGGCAGAGAGGCAGAGGGACGTGAAACAAACAGGCAGCGAGTCAGGAATGAACGCTTACAGCCGCTCGGTCATCATATCCAAATCAGAGCTATTTTATTACTGGTCCATTAACAGGAAATTAATTGGCAACTATTTAAATAATCGCTTGAGTTTCATTTACGTAGTTTTATGAAAGCCCTAGCAATGAGATATTAATTACCACATCAATAATGGAAATAATAGTTAGTGGCAGCCCTAATCCCAATTATGAAGGATTTTGTTATCTCAAGTGAATTGGGGTATGACAGCAATAAGCAGCCACACACACAATATGATTACATTATCATATGTGAGGTATTGCATCAATACTGATTAACGTATTCCGCCCCGCTCCAGTCACAACTGAGAATGTAGCTCGTAGAGGATAATCATCACTCTCGGTTTAGCCACTTCTTCTTTTTAAAGGTCAGCCATATTTCTAAACTAACATTAATGCTTTTGTTTGGGGACTGTGTAATGCGTCATTTACGAAAAATCTAAATTACTATGATTTTTTTTAAACATTAAATACATCATAGGTCATAACTTCCTGAAGGGTCTGCAGAGCTTTACTCTGATTTAATGTCAGCAGCATCCAAAGGTCGAGAATTGAAGCATTTTACATACATTTGTTGATACGATATAAATCCATAATAAGTTGTACAATAGAGAAAGTTCGTGTCAGTAGAGTAGTGATGCTAGCGGAGGCCTCTCTGTCCTCCTCCTGCTGCATCAGCTGCAGATGCGTCCATGGTCAAATTAAATCAGCAGCTTGTCTACACGTAGGTTAATTCAAACCGCAAGAAGGATAAAATATCGTTGACATACTCAGCTGGTGTCGGAGATATTCTCTCCTCCGTCGTCTCGTACAGTAAACTGAGCTGGTGTCTGTTTATGTCATTGTGTACGGATGGTGCTGATGCTGCGGTCCACTCCTACCGGCTACTGAGGCTAATGCTAGCTAGCTAACTTTGAGGGACAGGATATGCTGCCTTCAGGTATTCCTCGTAAAATCCTAATCAGAAACGCCATACCACGCGTCACGACAAATACGACCACAATCGCCCCAGTGACGCAGTCAGCAGCACTGTACTGCAGTTGTTGGGTGCTGCAGTTTTCTTCCAAATAATTGTAGAATATACACCTCCATAAACAATTTTGCTCAAGTCTTGCCAAGTCTTCATAGTTAGTTTTGTGTGACCAATATCCAGTATTCGGAAAAGCGCTCTATAAATAAAATGTATTATTATTAAGTAGCGGTCAATTCTGAGAGGTACTTTAGACAAAGTGGACCATGAGCTGTGAATCTTTTGTTAAAGTACTTTATCTAAGGTATTCACCGGTAAGCACAGCTGCACTCATACCAGTTTTTCGGAACAGTCCACGAAGGCAGCATTACCGCTAGCTTCACTCAGCTAGGTTAGCATATGAGGTAGCAAAGTAACGTAAAGTGGCTACTTACACACACAGTGTACACACAGTCGTTTGTAAACGTTTAAGCCCAGTAGCACGGGGGGTTATCGACAGGCTGTACTGTCGAAATGCAAACTCAGAGGTCAAGTCTTAAACTACTTTAGAGAAATCAACACTTTGGTTACTTCCGTCGTATTCAGCCGAGTCGTCCCTGTTGTCGCACTGCAGCAGGTTAAGCGTCCTTAGAGACAGCGGCCTTAAAACCAGCGCTTCTGCCATCAGTCCCCGGACTTAAGAACAAATGAAATAAACACTATTATTTCAATACAATGAAACCTAAAACTAAACTAAATAAGCTCTCTTGGTCTTAAGGGTAGATTTTACCGTTGAGATGTTACTGATGTTTAAAAACGCAACTAAACATGCTTTATATTCACATTTTCCTTCTGATGGTGTTACACAAAAAAGGCAAAACGTGATTTTTAAAATATTTATTTTCAAAATAATTATATTTACAAAATTACAATCTGTGACTAACAAACAGCTGAAACAGCTGATTCATTCCTTCTGAATGAATCGAATCACATTTGCCTCACAAAGACAAGGACCAAGCAGCCTACAAGTGAGGCCAAGAGACATGATTACCTCATGAAACTGTCCTCACTGTCAGTATACAGATGATGTATCAGTGTGCCTCATTAACTTAAACATTGAGCTAATTATTGTTAGACAATATCAAGATATTGCATCTTAAATCAGACATGATGTAAAGAACGGCAGTGCACTGTATTTAGAGAACACACTAGACTTTCTTTTTTTCACAAGAAATGTCATGTTAACCTAATTTAAGACACGCTGGTTCTAAACAGAACAGCAAAACAGGAAACCTGTGTATGGAAACCCGTTTTGACCTTTAACCTTATCAGAAGGTCCAGATGGTGTTCGATGATTTCAATAATAAGCTTCGGAACTACTTTGAGAAATTCTCAACGGAGGTCAATGGTGTTTCCCTAAATATCTACTGTCAGCTGATTATGAGTCAAGCTTCAGAGTTAAACGCTGCAAACGAATACTGACTGAGCCAACCGAATATGTGAACACACACAAACTTGCATACAGAGAAAGGCACGAACAGACATCACAGGTCAGCCTTCTCGGGGATGTTTAGCACCGTGCTGGAGCTGGATGTTCCCTGGCTGAAGGGGGCCGGCGCTCCTCTGTACGCCGACTCCAGCAGCACCTCCGTGGAGACCGAGGCGGAGGCCGAACCGAGGCCCGGGGCGGGGCTGGACTGTGGGTGTGCGGCAGTGTTCCCTTGCTGCACCTCAGCGAGCCTCTCCATCTCCGCGTGCTTTAGGCCCCGCCTCTTGCCCAGGACCTTGACGTAGTTGGCGGGGACGAGTCCCGTGGTCTGGCCGTCCGTGCTGGCCAGCAGCCAGCCGCGCACCTTCGGCTGGTGCTCTGAACACAGGGGAGAGTCAAAGGTCATCCACACGGGGTAAACACCAACTATCTCAGCTCTATTTTCCCAAAAGCAGGCCTTTCTCTTCCATCATTTACAATTTTTTTGTCACTCAAAAGACAAACTTTTACAGGCTTTTTGACTGACGTCTCTGTAGTACACAACATACACTTATTATACCACATGGACAGGAAAACCAGAGCTGTAACCCCACCTCTTCCTGATGAGGATAATATCCTCTATGACCGTATAAATGTATTTCTATGTTGCAACATTGACATATATCTCTAAAATAATACTTCAACTCATAAAATGTGTTAAACCCGCAGTGGTTTAAAGAGCTCTCACCTTTCGGGGCGAGGTTGAGCATGTCTCCGGCCCGCACAGAAATCTCCTCCTCGGACGCCCCTAAAAAGTCATACTCGACTCGGGCCACCACGTGGTCGTCCTCCCCGCTGGCCCAGTTAGTGGCTGAAGAAAATAAACGCAAAACACATCGTCAATTGTTAAGTGTTCATTCCAGGTAGTTTGTAAAGCCAGCAGTCGGAAGCTGAAATTAAGTTTTATTTCCTCACGTGCCACCGTCGTGTAGGTCAGTGACCTTTTCTACCGGCCACTCAAATGCTTTGTCTGCCACCTCTGAAGTCTATGTAGAACACTGAGTCAGTGGTACCAGGCAGTAGAAATATGGGATATGTCATGTAACCTTAATCTCTGAATATTTTTGGAACTGACACTAAATTAATCTGCCATGGTGGCAGGTGAGCCGAAATTTTTACCTGCTTCCTTTTTGACTTTTGTCCATTCGTTGTTATTATTGTCATTAGCAGTGTTATTGCTATTGATTTGTATTTTATTTTGGCGGTGTTTTGGTGGCAGATTCCATGTTTTTCTTTCGTTATTTGTTCCCTTTTTGGATTTTCATCCCATATTTGTTTTTACATTGTGATGTAGTGGTTTTGAAGGGACCCCAGGAAGAGGAGTTTCTACCTTGGTAGTAGGGAACGGGAATTCTGTGTAAATAAAATAAATACATAAACATTTACTCAAGCAGGCTAATTTCATTTCCTGCCAGCAGTAATTGTGATTAGCTGGAAAGAACACCGGCATTATTTTGGGCCATGATGGCACAAAGGTGAAAGCTGCTGATCTAAAGTCCAGAGAAAAAGGGGGACGGCTCCTGATCTTACAGTTAAAACTTAAATGTGTGTCAAAATGTAGAAGTTCAACGTCTCATCTGCAATTGCAAAAATCCTGAATGTTAGTCTCACCGGTCTCTTCAGAGCCAGGGCCCGAGCTCAGCAGTTTCCAGATGAGGTAGGGTCCCCCCAAGACTACAGCGAAAAACAGAAAGATTGGCCAGGACTTCACGGGCCGACTCTCCATCCCTGCTCCGTCCCCTCCGGACGCACTTGTCACCAGGGCATCAGCGGCACTGTCGGCCCACAAGTCGTCTATGTCGGCGTCCGACCTTCGCCCCAGCAGCCTCTGTAACCGCCGGTAGAGGTAGTGCAACATGCGTACCAGAGCTAAGGTTGAAAAAACACTGGTGAGGTGTGCACGCAGCCTCGTCAGGTGGTTGGCCACGTCCAGCACGGCACGGAAACTGTTATACACCGCCGAGTAGGTGGCGTTCAGCATCATGCTGACCGAGCCGAAGGCCTGGACGATGCTCTCGATGGACTGGAAGGCGCCGCGGCTGCTCTCCTCCGCCTGCTGCACGAAGCGGCTGGGGGCCACGTCTTCCGTGTGGGGGAGGCGGCTGTATCCTCCCGCGCCGAAGCCACCGCCGAAGCCACCGCCGAAGCCACCGCCGTAGCCACCGCCGTAGCCACCGCTATAGCCACCGCCATAGCCCCCATACATGGAGCTCCCATAGGGGCTGTAAGAGGAGGTGACGGAGCCGTAGGATGGACGGTAAGCCTGATGGACGGGACGGGGTGGAACCGGGGGCACCACACGGGTCAGGACAGGAGGGCCCGCAGAGTGGGAGGGGCCTGCAGCTGGTCCAAAGTTTGCAGATCTGTTTGGTGACAAGATCGAGACAAGACATGGGGATCAAAACATCTGTATTCATGTTGTTGTTTTTGTATACAGAAGAGCATAGGGTAGATTTAAATTAGCCAAGGGCCTGGAGCTGGTCTAAAACTACAGAAGGCATTAGGTTAATGATTCTGTGTGATTACATTAGCTTCAACTACCTTAAAAACAATGGTAATCGATAATAACCTTACTCAGATAAGGTCAATACGTGTCACATTTGAATTACTAACGTAACGCTAGATGAACAACAAAGATGGTGATGAGACACGAAGTAGTGAGGGGCAATAAAATACAGTTGCAAGGTTTAAGCTAATGTTTCGTGTACGAGCATCGTGACGTTATGCTACATTTAGTAAGCGGAGCCTGGAGAAAAACACTTCCCGTGCTCGTGTAGGAGTCATATGTCAGGGCTTCATTGGGCCTAGCTAACGTTAGCTGGTTAGCTAGAAGTATAGCTGGTACTTTGTTTAAATGGCTATCGTCGGTAAAATACTCTGACGAATGGAAACTTTTTGATAGGCCAATGGTTTATAGCACCATTGTTTGGGGGATTTCGCCAGGCTTGTGCAGCTACATTAGCGTAAGCTAGCTAACGCAGCAACAACATCGAACCAGCTACAGTCAGTAAACACAAACGTTGTCCTACGATACCGAGCTAGCTAACGCGGCTATTACAGCCCGTGTACCTGTAATTTATAGGCACACTCATTGCCCCCGGAATCCGCCTTTCCCATGGCTTTTGTGGAGGCTGTGGATCCATCGTTAAATATACATCCACAGAGTTTGACCAATAATAAGAACTCGCTTCCGGGATTCCTAATATCACCTTCCGGACCCTGTCCCAGTTTGTCCTGTTGCGTTCCAGGTCACCTCGTAATCTCCTATTTCTGATGTTGGAGAGAGATTTTATTCTTTTTTTTTTTTTACAAAGAATATATGGAAACTGACAACAGTACACAGTCCAACTAATGCCATAAAAATGTCATTACATTGTATGTCATAAAAACTAATATAATATGTCATAAAACTTTGTAATCTAGTGTGTGTGTCATAGAAATTCCATAAAAATATAGTGTAGCATGCCATAAAAATAATCTAGTATGTTTTAATAAATGTCTTAGTATAATGTGCCATTAAAATATTATAAATAATGTCATGAAAACATTTAATTGTATAGTAACGCCTGAAAAAATATAGAATAGTATTCCATAAAAAACAATATAGTATGTTATGAAAAATATCCTTGTATATTATGCCATAAAAGAAATAATAAAATAAGTTTGTCACAAAAATTACCTCTCAAATCCTGAGTTGTTGTTTTTTGCACTGAAGACGCTTAAACGATTGAATGCACAACTCGCTTCTGTCCAGCAGAGGTCGCTGTGACTTATCACAAAAGAAGAGGATAAAAGGGAATATCCCTCCTCTGTAATACACTGTATTTAAATTAAGAACACATGTTTTCATGGCTATTGTTCTCACTAATGTCCAGTCACATTGACAGCAGTCATTTTAAATTCCTATGAGTTTGGCTGAAGAGAAACATCCCCACTGCCCTATGGTATGCACTTCATCATTATGTAGTAACCTGCACTAGGACATTCAGATATAAAGTGTGAGCTGAATGAACATTATAGCACTTTTCTACTCTTCCGAACACTCAAAACACTTTAACATTACATGTCACCATTCACCCATTCATTCACTGATGACAGGGGCTACCATGCAAGGTGCCACTTGCCCATCAGGAGTAACTAACATTCACACACATTCACACACCGTAGGCACACAGCTACGGGAGCAATTTGGGGTTTCCCAAGGACACGGGGATCGAACAACCGATCCTCTGATTGATTGAAGACCCTGCTCTACCACTGACCCACAGTAGTTAACTATTGTTAAATATTCTACGAAATGCCCCTTCATAAGAAGATAGTTTTCCCCCTTTTAAAAATAATTCTCTAAATCCATTCTAAGAAAGAAAAAAACACGTTCTTCCCATTATTTCACACAATCAGACAACTGACGGAGACTTGAATGTTAATAAATCTAACAAACTGTCTAGAGGCTTTTTTGTTGTTGCTGTCAGATTTGGGTACTAACACTATTTCCTACGCCAGTCTCCTTTGATTGCCGACGTTGCAGCTCCTGAGATTTGACTTATATGACGTGTGTGAATTGGATTTGAGGGGTGGATCCCCCTTTGGGCTCTCACCAAGTGTGGATCAGTCAACCCCGTAGTAAGGTTTGGGGAGGGGGTGGCTTGAGCTGCAGCTATAGTGTAAGAAGAGCAGCTCTTGAGCGCAAGCAGTGGGCGCAGAGGTGTGCGGTGTGGTTTGAGGAGGGAGCCCCGTGATGTCAAGTGTCGTGCGTTGAAGAGCTGACGCTTTAGAGTCGCCGTGGGGTGGGACGAACAGAAGGTGCCTGTGTGTGTGTGTTGGTGACATGACGGAGTAAGGTGGGACTCCAAAGTGTCGGTCCCCTGATGCCGCCGTGCGTGGGAAGACGCTTGAGATGATGGTCCTGGTATTTGGGGTTTGACCTTTTTGTTGGTGATCATAGACTGTAAAGGATCTTTACAGTTTTTACTTGGCTCTAGAAAAAGAGACGCTATCTGACAAAAACAACCAAACTTAATAACATTTTTTAAAATTTTGAATGTATTTTACAACTTACTGGAGCATAATGACATTCGAATCAATGAGCAAACAAGGAACTGATATGACTGGTATCAGAGCTGTGCTTACTATTATTTATTTATTTGTTTGTTTATTTAGTTATTTATAAAAAATCAAATCTCTAATTTCTTTTATTTATTTATTTCTTCCTGTATTATCCTATATTTCATCTTTGTTTTTGTTTGTTTTTCTATTACTTCTTGTTTCCCTTTTCAGAAAAGATGATAAAGAGATGTTTAAAAAGATAAATAAATAGAGGATAATTACATTTAATGAATAAATTAAATGGGGAAAAGTATGAAGACACCCAAACATTACACTCATATATGTAAATATGCTGCAGCCACTGATTTCAGGCTTTCCACCAGATTTTTGGGACTTGGCTGCAGGGGTTTGGCTCCAAATCGTGAACCATTAAAATGAAATGTGAGCACATCGCTCTTTAGATGAACTGCTCCGCAGCTTGTAGACGCCTCAGATTCTTGGCGAGAGTTAGATGAGAAGATCGACGCCACTCTCATGTCTGTCCGTTGGAGGCCATGGAGACGGTTAGCTTAGCTTAGCATAAAGACTGGGAACAGTCGGAAACAGCTAGCCTGACTACAGGTTAAAAAAATATGCATAGCAGCAACCCTAACGCACACTAACTAACATGTTGTATCTCGTTTGTTTCACTCACACTAAAACTGAAGTGGAGTCTAATTTACAGCAAGAAAATGGATAGTATTTTCTGAAAATATAGACTATAACTATTCTTTCAAGTGAAGCTAAGGGCCAAAGTATTTTAGAAAGTTACTTTTGGCCATATAGTTTATGATATTGATATAAGTTAAGGCATGGAAAAAGGAGAATTTAGCAGTATAAGCTGCTCAAGCAAGTGTACTCGGATTATCCGATGTCCTGCTGTTGGATGGTCACGAAATGCACTGGAGGCAATTGCATGAGTTTTCTCTCTAAGGGCTGTCTGACATTTTTAAGAAGAAATGTTGCCAATTATTGCAGACGCATTTCAAAGAGATTGAAAAAAGATTTGCCGGGGCTGCCTCGAATTTACCCTGTATATTCCTGTGTTTATACAACCATGGTAGAATCCCTAAGCTTTCCCTCACACCCATATCTGCCTTTCTGTTCGTGCATTTAATCGACTGGCCCAACCAGACCTATGACTTCCCTCATCCCAACGCAGCATTCCTTTACTCGTTCTGAAATTCCACTGTTCCTGACTTGTTGTATGGTGTATTTTTGCTGGGCAGCACGCTGGATTGGCCTGAATGTAATGTGGGAACTTTTCACAAAACGCTGGTTCCTCCTTGCTCCGTGCGTGTCAGTGTGTCTTCTCTTTGTGCTGCAAACGTGTGTATTGCAATAAGTATTAATGACAGATGGGAAGATGGAGGCTTGTACAAAAGTGGAACTGTCAAGAGAAATTGTTAACAGAACATACAGAACTCAGTTTTTAGCCTGTGCGCGCACACACACAGAATGTTGACATGGTTGTGTGGCTGCTTATGAAAAAGGGAAATACAGTAACTGAAGGGACAATACGGTAGTTTCTATTATTGAAAAAAAAACGAACTGAGAGGCAACAAGTTCTGTTATCTGAGGTGTAAACTTAAAAAGGAAGACAGAAACTGTTTAGAAAGTTGAGAAACAATGGTCTGAAGTTTGAAGGCTACTTATCCAAAGTGTGTATATAAGTTGTAAACACTAAGGATGATAATATTAGTATGATATCAGATACTGTAGGCCACTACGAAGCCTGTTTGGAAAATCTCGGAGGCATTTAAGCTAGTTAGAGTTAGCTTAGCTTGACGAGTTAGCTTCCAACACAGCTCATTTATCTGCTACTTTTTTTCTCTACTTTGATCACAGCTACTGCCTTACGTATGTGTATAGAATACTGAATTACTAAGATGTTGGAGCATTATTCATTTTACAACTATAGGAAACATTATTAGAAAAGGTCATTGAATTAGCTTTAGCTAAGGCTAGTTGTATTTTCACTTCCAGTCCAGCTAGTTAAAGCTAATTGGAGGAGTGTCTTTGCAGTTTGCTTTTTACCTCTCTTTTGTAGTTTGTGCAAAATTGACATGCTGTTTTAGATCCCTAAATTATACTATCTATGGCATACTAGTTTTATATGGAAAACACATTTTGGCTTTGTAGAGCCCTGTAGTCTATATCAATGTTGAATAGCAGTGTTCTTTTACACTTCTTCCTATCTCACTACATTAGCATACATAAACTTAGAGTATGGTTCCTCGCTTGAGTCACTCATCTTAAGTATAAGACCACTAAAACAATGACATAAACCTGCTGAACACCCTGGAACACACAGGTATTCGCTGCTCTGGTCATACATTCACAGTAAAAGCTTTGTGGGATTTTCCCTTTGCTCTGAAACATGAGTTAGGTCTTGCATGAGGAGCCTCTCTAGCTACACATAAGTACAACACCTATAATTAAAATGTGCTGCAGGAAGTTTGCAAATTGTAGGATCAGGGAAATTGCTCTCAGAGAATGGAAGTAATAACTGCTCTCCATATTTCACAGAGAGATCTTGGCTCAGTGATCTTATAGGTGGAAAAGATGACTATATGTATTTATGACGTGTGGGCATCATTCCACGAGTTGATGCAGAGGAAGGCCTTTTTTAAACCTTGTTTTGTTCCTAAAACGGTTAATTGCTCTATGCAGACCGGAATCTGGCAAAGTTAACATATTTTATTTCTTCACTGAATAATGTATTTATTTACATGGGGCAGAAATTCTGCATAAACATCTGCATAAAACAAAAACAAAAACAAATCATGTTTGTCTTCATATTCATGGTTACATGTAGTAATATGAAACCCCAGATAGTTGTTTTTAACTTGTTTGAATTTAATGTGAATCCACATACAATGGGCATCAAACTCAATATATGAGGAATAGATAGAGGAAGTGGATAAATACCAATAAAATCTAACTTTCTATTATCAGTGCTGCAGGCACACACCTCTACCAGAGCACTATTGTTGTTCGAATGCATCTGTGACACGCACGCCCTGTGGTAACCCCGGCCATGATAAGGTGAGATAATGGTGTGTTCATTCAGGTGGAGTGTGACCGGATGCCTGTGTCGTCAGCAACCATTTGCAGTGAGCAAGGGTTTGCAAGCTTCACAGGAAGGAGGAGGAGGGGGGGGGCAGCTGAGTGAAGGGGGAGGAGACTGAGCAGCAGAGGAGGGGCATTACTGGAAATAGGTGGCTAAACAGGTCTGGCTGGCCTTTTCCAGGACATGGTTAGGAAATACTGAAAGAGACACACTGCACTAGCGCAGACTCTCCCTATGTGTGCACAGAAAGACAAACACGGCTGCACACACATACACGACGACATACAGTGTGTGTGACATGTGCCCCCCCCCCCCCTGCACTCATGCAGGACTAACTGTTTAACCCCAAGTCATAAAACTAACTCTTTGCAGAAGTGAAATATCCTGACTGAATTACTTCACTGTGATCTATGTGTCAGTGAAGACATTTGGTCCTCTTGTTATTTACCAATGCACGGATTTGATGTTGCAATACCTTGTTTCATTATACAGCCCTTTACCAGCTGCATTTTTCGGCTCTGGATGAGTAAGCACTGGGTTGAGAACTCACACGTAAACATTGGAGCCCAGGGTTAACATCTACATGAATCAGGAAATAGCTCGAGTCAGCAACAGGTTTTCGTTAGCCCTGGGCTTAATACAGGGCATGCAAAATTCCATGCTGCAGATCTCAAAAGGAATTGTAAGCCCGGACCAAAACCTATAACTTTGTGCTTGAGCTTTTGGACTGCTGCTCTCTGAAATAAAAAAATCTATGTGCAGTAAATGGAGTTTTTCTCTGGACTAAACAACCCTTGCAGTGAAGTCTCCAGTGAACTCGGGCCAGCATCAAGAGAGAAATTGCGCCAGCCCAACACAGATTTCAAAACATCAGTGTTTCTGTCAAAAGGACAATGTAGTAGCCCACATTACAGGAGCACACTATTACTATTATGTCATGTAACCCATAATAAAACACTTTCTCTGTCAACTCATCAATCCTGTTTCCAACAACAAGCACTGATAAACCCATTGTGCGCTACCCGCCAACTTTAACGGCCGACACACCAAGTTAGCGACTAGCTGTTGAACATAGTGGAGCATTTAGCAGCTAGCGAGCCAAAACAGAGCCAAAAGGAGAGTGAATAGGACTTAACAGGTGGCCAAAAACACAACTTCAAATGACGGCTGAGGCTGCTCCATATCTCAATAATATCAGTAGTTATATTCTAGTAATAGCTAACACGTAAGCCTTTTCAACGTGTCATTTTTAGCTTGTTGTTGGAGTTTTGACCAAAATAATGGACCAATGCTGTAAACTTCTCGAGGCTATTCTAATAGTACTTAGATGTTTTCATAACCACCGGTTGACTGCATGCATCAAATGACAAAAAACTGTAGACTCAATTGAGGGATCAATAATAAAAAAAAAAGATAAAATCAGTGAATCAAAACCAAAAGCCTGTGAGCGGATTGTTGACAGTATCCGGCGTGTTGAGGTTAAATCGGGGTTCACTGGTTTCTTATAACAACGAGACAGGAAGGATGCTGCATGCAGCGTTTCACCTCAGTCTCCTTTAATACGAGAGAACACAAACATCCAATGTCGTACATCCTGGATTCCTTGGCAGGACACACTGCTTGAAAAGTACCTTTGTGTTATTGAATGCAGAATTTTTCGAGAAATAAGATTAGAATCAACATTCATCGATTGTGATGAAAATATGAGCGGCGCTGATGTAAAAATGAAACTGTGCAACTAATTCACAGAGGATCAGTATTGTCGATATAGGTCAAAGCAAATTATGCCAGGCCGTGATCATTGACTTACTTACATGTATCTTTGGACAGATTTGGTTTGCTCCAGACATGAGCCTTGCTAACTGTTTCCCCTCTGCTCCTAGCCTTTATGCTAAGCTAATGCTATTGATCTTCTAGTCTATCTCTCAGCAAGAAAGTGATTAAGCACTTTTCCCAAAATGTTGAACCATCTTTCAGCTGTAAACGACTCGCACGTTGTGCGACACGTTGCAGTTTGACGTGGGATTATGAGCCGCACCATTTCTTTGCTGGGAGCAGTTACCTCAGCTGTTTCCAGTCTTTACACTTCACTAGACTAACCGAATGCTGGCTATAGACTTGGAGTATCTCTTCAGAAATGAAAATGGCTCAAAAGTGATGTAAAGCTGAAGGATTAAACACTTCTACATTTCTGCATGGACATGAAAGCAAAAGGTTTCAATTGGAAGACAATGTTTTGGCCATGAGCAAAATCCTGATGACAAGTTAGGTGAGGACAAGTCCAGTGAAGCTCAAACTGAAAGTGAAAAGTCACGTGGCTCATCGCTCACCACTTTGTTGTTGAGACACGCCGAAGTCAGAATCACGAAGACATGCTCACCGTCAGGCGCTGCATTATCTCTACCCTCAAGGCCAAAGCTTTCTGCCTACAGATACTCCTTAGAAACTATCAGCTGATTGCAGCCCAGTGCATCATACTGTAGCTTCTTGCTCCATTGATTCATGGTGTCATCGGTCACGTCAAAACATAACCTATGAGGAAATCTGGGGACTTTGGCACAATATTGGGAGACTTTTACAAAGCTGGGGAGGTTGTAATTTAACCACCCTTCTAAATCATTAGTCCGGTTGTATTAAACCACAGGTAACAGTAGCAACCACACTGATGCGTTAGTGTGTCAACTCTAAAGTTTGATTATGGTTGAAGTACCTCAAACTTGCATTCTTTCTAATGGCCAGCAGGGGGCGACTCCTCTGGTTGCAAAAAAGTGATTGTATAGACTCCTTCTCACTTGATTTATTACCTCAGTAAACATTGTGAACATGAGTTTATGTTCTCATTCTCTAGTTTCAAGTCTTCTTCAATACAGCATGATGTTCATTTTGTAAATTATGTCCATTTAGAGTCAAATAGACCATAAAGCAGGGTATGCTTTAGGGCGGGGCTACCTTGTGATTGACGTGTTCTGGTCTGGGTGTTGTCCATGTTTTCGTCTTAAATCTTAAACTCTTTCAGTGTGTGTTTTCAGTTCATGAAAGTTATTTGAAACATTTTGGTCGCCTAAAAGTTACGTTTGGTTATATTTTGCTGCACCCTCTCGTGTCACCTCTCCTTGGAAAAAACCCCAACATGGAACATGTAGAATAAGACAGACTCTGTTTATTAAGAACTGATCTTGTAGAAAAATCCAAAAATAGCAAATCTTACAAACTAGTCATCAAAAATATTTACTTCCTTTTACAACCAAAAAGCTTCTGAAGGGCATACAAGTAGAAAAACAACATGCTAGGATGAGCTAGACTACAGTTGACAGTTTATCATCAGACAACCACAATGTCCTTGAGCGAGGCGCTCTGTGAAGATATCGATAAGCTCAGCTGAACGAATGAAACATCAATAAAGTACAAAATTGACATCTTTATATAAAAAAAAAACCATCTAGTAGAAATGCTCTGAGAACTCTGAATAACACATGTGATCACTGTTATGACATAGTCATTACAAAGGAAAGACAACACTAAATGTGCTTCCTCCCACTTCCTCAATGGAAATTTCAGTACCTTGCCAGTTCTTGAGCATTTCAGCATTGTTATTGCTTTCACTCTCAACTATGGCTTACATGTATGTACAGAGCGCATTTATAACAGCAAATACTCTGCTAAGAAATCAATAAAACAGTACAATATGTAAGAATTCCTTTACAAAGCAAAAAAAGTGTGTACAACCATGATAACGAGCCATATTGTCTGCTCTAATTTCCAATCCCTAACATACATTTGCCCCCGTTTTATTTCCAAAATCAAACACTCTACTATACATTATGTTCACAGTGAATCCAACTTCACATGAAAAAGACAAAGAAAGAAAGTAGTACATTCACTTCTGCAGAATTCTAACTTTGGCTTGGAAACCATGAGCATGTTGTTGGTCATCTTTACAACCTAAGATGTTTTATCCCCATACTTCACCGTGCAGAAAGAAGCCAGTTGAACTCATGAGAGCTCAATTTAATTGACTAGTCTGGAGAATATCCACTAAAAGCCTCAACACCAGCAGCTGGAAATCAATCAGTGAATTAGGGGGAGTAATTTGAACTACAGTCCATTGGTTAAAGGTCAGGGTGTAACCTGAACAGGCGTCCTTAATATGAATGCAAATAGGTTCTGAAACTGCATGGTTCTTGTCTAAAATGAACCAAGAAATCAAATTTGATTAATCATTTTTAACAGAATGGTGTCTTTCCATATATTGGGAAGCAAAAGCCAATGCTTACCAAGCCATAGATGGCCAAACAAGTGTAGGAACCACCCTTGGTGATGTCTCTGCTAAAGAAGGAACTAGTTCGTAATCAATTGCACCTCCTAGAAACAACGCCTTTGTCTGGTTGTAGATTCCACATGGCTATAATTTTATGTAATTTGCCCACTGATGTAATAACCCAAGCAAATGCCCACTGATCCTTACTGGGCCAATATGGATGAAGCAAAATCTCTGTCTTTGCAAGGCTAAACAAGACCAACGTATTCCTCTGAGTTGCATCTGTTTATTTTTTGACACCGAAAATGTCACTCCTTTTAGTCACTTTGTCGAGTTGCTTTGATCCAGTCAGCCAAAGTTGTAAAGTGGCCTTCGGATGCCATGTCGTTGTCCGAGTACGGATTTTCCTGAGGCTGGGTGTTGCCACAAGCATCTTGCATCATTGGAATCATGTTGATGCCGTTGCTTATAGGACGAGGAAGCAAGTTGGTATAAGTATTTTCTTGGCTTTCGCTCGGGGATTGCATGACGGAAGAATGGGTCTCTTGTCGCATTGTGATCTGGGGCTCCTGCTTCAGCTGAGGCCCACCTCCCACCAGGCCCTTCAAAAAATCTTCCCCTTCCCCTACGAAGGAGAAAGAGCCCAGCCCCTGTGAGCCCCCTCCACCTCCGGGTACTGACCCGTTAAAGGTGTTCTGGACTTGATTGAGGGTAGTGAAATTGGGCCAAGCAGTCTGGAGACCCTGGTTCTGGTTGCCTGGATGGTTCTGGTTGCCTGGATGGTTCTGGGCCCGGGTCTCAGATGCGAGCTCCTCCCTTTGGTGCTGCAGCTGGAAGATTGGCTGGCTCATCACAGCAGCTTGGGGGGCTGGATCCAAGCACTGCAAGTCCCTCATGGAGAGCTGAGGGAGGGTGTTATTCTCAAAGCCACTGTGCTCCACTCTGTGGGGGTAACCAGAGACACGGTTTGCCTGCTGTTGCCTGCTGCTATTAGGACGTAGAAGATTGCTCATGGCACCGGACGGGTTTATGGTGACTGTATCCATTGAGAGTGCTGGGTTGGGATTTGCCCATGAATGGCTGACTGGCACAGTGGGAGCCTGCGATGTCATCATAACGTTCTGAGCGCCTGGTTGGAAGACCTGGTTGAATACAGGAGGTTGTTGCGGCATCGAAGGTGTGGGCTGTGGCCTCACGTACATGTTGCTGAGGTCTGGAAAACATACATTGACATTTAGTGTGATAGCAGGGCAGTATTATCCTGATCTGGATGGAAGCGTAGTATAGTTGCTGGCTTAACACCTAACCATTGCAATGTGAGGGAAACAAAGCCAGTTACCTTTTCGCATGTGACTCATGGTACTCTGTGGCACCGCCTTTGGCCGGTTTATTAGACCAGTGAAAGGAACACCTAAAGAAAGGACAGAAACCTTGGTTACAATGCATACATGTACACTGAATCTCATACATGCACATGGGGACATATGAGATGGGCTATATTGATATAAACAGTACCGTAACTCATACCTGACAGTCCTGATATCCTCATCAAGTGCTCTCTTCTCCGCTTTTTCTCATTGTAACCGTAAGGATCTAAAGCAAACGCAAAATGTTCACATGTATCACTTAAATCCACCTGAGACCCCCCCAGTTCCTGAAAACCACCAGCGGACACCGACCAATGGCGAGAGTTTGAGTTAATAACACAAAGAAGCAGATCTCTGCTTACCTTTGTCGTCGGGCAGGTATCTAAAATCCATGGCTTCACTGACTTCCTGATCGGAAGGCCGGCGCAACTGCATGTGCACGGTGACTGACTCCGTTACGGAGGTGTTATAATAGGAAGGAGTCTTAAAGACGATGGCCACTTGGCGATGAACGTCGGCCTGGGAGAAGGAGCCTTTGGCCTCCCAACCGTCGTCGGAGAAGAATCGCACCTCGATGTCGTCTGGAGGAAAGTGGGATGATGAGAAGACAGCAATGGAAAACTGAATGAGCATGCAAACAGATGGGCTCTATGGCTACGAGACGCAAAATGGATTCATGGATGGAAAACAATGGAGAGAAAATGTATGCAAGATATGAGAAATCTGTAAAACGTGTAAAACAACAAAATGCAGATTAGCTTATTGCGAAGGCCAACAGAGCATCGATAGTTTGTACCTTTCTGTACTTTGTCACACAGTAAGAAGATCTCATCCCCTCCCTTGACGCTGCCACTGTTCCGGTTGACCCGACAGATCCTCAGCTCCGCTGTGTTTGGGGCCCCTGATGATGCAGAAACAAGTTGTAACCATACAGCCCAACAGACGCAAACAATCTAAATCAAACTGCATTCTATGAGTGAGATAACATTTGTATTTCCAACAGTGATAGTGTCAGAGTCGGCCTTGACCTGATCTCGCTGATTGTGAAAAAACAAAACAGCTTTCGTGGCTCAGTGTAACTTGTTCAATATTTGCCTCAGTTTAGAAAAAGACCACAGTAGGTTTACAGTTGAGGCCTCAGCAGGTTGAGTCACATGTCACAAGAGAGTCAGAAGAGGAAGTGCTCCATGGCAACGGGGTTGTTTGAGGCTTTGTGTGTATAAAGAGCTTCCCCTTTCTCAATGTTTGTGAGGAACACTGAACTAGTTCACTAAGTGCAACACTCAAAACAGAGTTGAGAGAATAACTACTGGACACATGCACACAGGTCTTGCAACAAACACTTGGGTGGAAGCCAGTGCTCCCCAAAAGACAATTTGAAGGGTTTTTTTAATCTTAAAACTATGCAAGTTTACATCATTTTAGACCCATTATTATTTGGCTAGTATAGGCTAACGCCCAGAAAGACGAAACAGATACACACTGCATGAACTGTGTGTGCAAGTTACAACTGTATCATTGTATCGTCAAATAGAGACTTGACAATGGACAACATGCATATTATTAGACATCATAGCATAAATATATATGACAAAAATACCAAAGAAAATAAGATATTATTAATTTAATTGAATAGTTTTTATAGTTAAGCAGCATAATATATAATATAATTTTGCTTCTGCTACTGAAAAAAAAGAAAAGAAAACCATGAGAGATAGGTTTACCAAGAATGTACAGCATATTCCATACCACTTATCCTTCAATGTGAGCTCTTCTTTGCACATTAGTATAATTCCAACGAGGCCATTTAAAATCTTTTGCAAAGGTATTCTCCAACCAACACATTGTTGGAGGGCCTACTCTCTCTATGTGCAGGCCTACTCTCTCCTGCACTGTATATATTTACACCCCTGGCTTCATGGGTAACTTCTCAATTCTTGCATAGTAAAATTACTTTATCAGCAAGTAGAATATTAATAAAATGCTATGTAAGGGTATGAAATGACATGAATATTAGCATGGCAGTGCCGCGACGTTCTCGCCACATGCAGTTGCCCTAACATGACTTCAGCACGAAGACACACACGCTGTGACGCAGACCGAGCTCAGTCAACTCACTGTTGTCGTAGATGGGGTTGGTGACGATGGGGCCAAGCGGGATGGTGTAGTGGCCATTCTCGTCCTGCAGGAAGACCTGGATGCACAGGCGCACCACGTTCAGGTCGTACTCCTCCGTCTGCAGCAGCTGCTCACGTGGCACTGAGGTCACACACACACACATACATAGGAGTCATTATCACAGCTACATGAGAGGTGAGATGATGCATGAGACAAACAACCTGCAATGTAAGCAATGATCCCTTATATCACTCTGATTTTAAAAAAAGTATCATCAGCAAAATGTGCGGAATTATAGTACTTCTAATGCAAATATATGACCCTTTTTATACTATTAAATACAATATTATTGGACGATTATTGATGCATTAATGCGTTAGAAGCATTTTACAGTTGTAATTGGATGAGCTTTTTATTTACATATCCATGACAATGCATCATATTTTATAAGCTCCTCATACGTTTTGAATGAAAAAAATAAAATTTAAACAGTAACTACAGCTATCAAAATAAGTGTAGAAAGGGAAAAATTACAATATTAAGTACAAGTATAGTATGTACTTAGGTACAGTGCAATTAAATGGAGGCTCGTGGAACTTGTTTTGTGGTGCTCAAAACAAAAAAGTATCACCAACTTCAGGCTATTTATTTTAGGCCATAAACAAATGACGGCAGGCGTTTTGAAGGTGGATATCTCATGATGGCCGGCACATCATAACACCCGCGTGGCCAGACAGACACCACTAAACGTTTGCAGTCGCGCGGCTGTAATGTGGGTGAATTGATCGTAAATCAATTTAATCACAGAATGATACCATGGACCAAATGTGCAGAAGAATCGTGTGGTGAACAATTAATGAGAAACGTGTCACACCATCAAAGTGTAGATGGATGGACAGATAGATCTAGTCACATCTGTAGGCCGTCCCCAACACTTCGGATCAACACGTCACAGATAAGCTTTTTTTTTTTTTTTTTCAAGCCTCCACAGCCCACACTTTTATCTGCAAACACACACACACACGCGTCACACACACCGCCCTCAGAGGTGACGCGAACCTCGAAGGGATAGCTTTATAACTGAGACGCCCCCACACACACAGATACATACACACCATGCTTTCACATCTGCCTACTTTCTCTTCCTCCATCTCTCTCAATTTCTATCTATCACGCTCATGCCGAGGCCACATACCGCCTACAATTTGTCACCGCGGTGACGCTCTGCAACGTCACCTTCGGGGTGGAAAGAAGTGCCTGTGTGTGTATGTGTGTGTGAGACAGTGTCAGCAGGAGTAAGAGATGAGACTCCCTGCACGAGTAACCATGAGGGCTCCTGACGTGTGTGAAAGTGGTGGGACTAAAGTCAGAGCTCAACTCTTTTTGAATCCTCGATAATGTGAAGCGGCTCAGTGTGCAACAGCAACACGTGAGACGGAGGGGAAACTCCTCGTCCTAACTCACTGTGTCACTGGGCATGCTCAGTGCAAACAGCCAGCGTAAGTATTTTTCCCGCCCTGTCTCTACATGCACCGCTGGCACCAGCACATCATCATTCCCAAGGCTCAGGTCCAAGTGGAGTCACGGGTCATCGGTGCAGCTACGAACGAGTCGGTTTGGATTTTGACTCTATAAACATGTCGACATCATGGTCTGGTGTCTGATATCCAAAATACTTCAGCCTGGCTCTAAACGCTTGTAACAATGTCCTTGATGATATGCAGCATTCCGACCGTCTGACCTGCTTCATGTCACCTGCACATTTTTGTTTGGGGAAAAGGCTCATTTGCTATTACTTTCCTTCCACACATTTTCTTGCTGCTGTTGTTTTTCTTATTAAAGAGTGGCGGATGTTTGGCTGGTCTGAAAGAGCTTTGGGGTTGTCCAATGACATAATGTTGTACATACTGTGAATTTTTTATTTTTATTTTTTCTTCATATCCTCTCTAGTTACAATCCTGTATATTCTCTGTCTGTCTGAGAGTCACCTGTAGAAGATCAATACCACTCTCATAAATGTCTGTTAAATATGAATCAACGATGTGACAGCCAGAAGATGAGTAGCTTAGCTTAGCATAAAGACTGGAAATAGTACTTACACTTCTAAATACAAAAACCACCGTGTGCAACAAGACAGAGTTCGGTACCTTCGTACAGAGCTGTTAAACGGTGGATAAACTTAATGCTGAACACAACTGTACTGAATATAAAGGGACAACTTAGAATGCATTGTGCTGCTTTACAAGCCAATTTAAAACCATTATATTTGACTCTTCATTTCATTACAATAAATGAGTATAATGCTAGTTTTTTCTTGCTCCACAAGAAATCTGCATTTGATCAATAAAGCGTTATTTCTTAGAAAAATGATGGCTTACAAGGTGCTTAACACATATCAAATTAGTACTGTGCAGCTCGTTGACGCATTTTCTTGGTTTTCGTATACTGTGACATGTTTAGGTGTTGGCTCTCTCTCTCTCTTTTAGACATTTCTGTTTTCAGTTTGCGTTGTT